AAAAAAAAAAAAAAAAAAAAAAAAAAAAAAACCTCGCCGTGAAGGATGCCACGAGGAAGAAGCCTGGTCTCAATCTGAGGGCATACTCACTCTGGGACTTTCCCGGATGTATAAGACCGCTTTTCCGACCTGGCATGGATGCATCTGACTGCAATTACGTCCTTAGAGAAGTGGGAAAAATCCTAATTTGAATAAAATCCTCTGAGTAGAAAACAAGAGAACAAAAAAAGGAAAAGCAAAGAGCATATCTGACGTGGGCGAAATAGCGACACCTGTGCGACCACTGAACGAAACAAAAAACTGCGGCCGTTATCAGAAAACAAAAAAAAAAAAGGAACAACAGAGTGTCACACAGACTACACATCGAAAACTCACATTTCGGTACCATACTACCCTGCGGCCGTGTTTTTTTCGTTTCTTTTATCTGCATCTCTGCTTGAAACACGTCCACATTCAGGAGCTTAATCCAATCCTCGTTGCTAGTGGGACCTCGCCCCCTTACATCAATCGTCAACCAACTCGTCATGATCTTACAAAGTGCGTAGTAGACAATATAAAAAGGAACAAAAAAAAGAAGGAACAAAACTGAAAAAAACTAGTTCATAAAAAAATGATAGTAAAACAAAAAAGGAAAAAATAGAAAAATATTAACAAACTTAAACAAAAAAAAAAAAGCTTATAAAAAAAGTTTTAAACGAAAAACCGTATCTCCGATTCTCAACACCTCAGCTGTTCCTGGACCTATCGAAGCTCTCTCGAACATTCCGAAAAAGGAAAAAAAACGAACAAAACGAAAAAAGGTCACCGGTTCTAACTCATTCATGGCCAGGAATAACTTACAGAAAAAAAAGGAGAAAAAAAAAAAGGAGACAAAAAAACGAGAAAAAAAAAGGAGAAAAAAAAAGGAGAAAAAAAAAAGAGAAAAAAAAGGAGAAAAAGAAGGATTTTAATTCACAAAGAACGGAGGGAGAGAGAGAGGGGAGGGAAGGAGGGAAGAAGGGAGGGAGAGGAGGGAGAGGAGGGAGGGAGGGCTTGATTACAGGTTTTATAGTACGGAAAACATTGAACTCGTCACCTAATTGTTCTCAGTTTTTTTTTTTTTTTTTTTTCGTTTTGTTCTCTGATAATTATTGTATTTCACGTTCCTTCTTAGTACTTCGACTTTGCTACTCTTTTACGTGTGAATCGAGTACTTGAATTCTGTTGTGCCGTATTCGGCATCACATTATTCTCTGTTGACAGTACATAGTACTACATACCAGTTTCAATTTTCGTTTTTGCTTCTTTGTTTAATATTATACATGTTTTATCATACAGGAAATATCCGTTATACACCCGAAAATTAAGCGGCATTTCGACCGTGCCCCTGAAAAAGTGCCCTTTTCAGTTGTGTTCCCGAAGGCTGAGGCCGGTCAACTTACAGGATTACCCCGCTTCGGTGGCTGTAAACTTTTAATTGAACCCAGTCAAACTGTAATTAAAAAAAAAAAACAAAAAAAAAAAACAGTAATTGCCGGTACCACAAGTGACCCAAGGTACAACTGGGGCGAGGTCCCACTGCAAAGAGGAGTGGATTAAGTGCCTGAATGTGGATATGTTTTATGCAGAAATGCAGAAAGGCAGACTTCAAAAAGGCATTTTTCGCACCCTTCCACAAACACGTGCACATTCAGGCGTTCAACCCAGTCCCTTTTGCTAATGGGACCCCGCCCCAGAAGGTTCCGCACCGACTTGCGAAAAGGAGTGGATTAAGTACCCGAATTTGGACGTGTTTTAATGCAGAAATGCAGAAAAAATGATTAAAAGAAGCCATTTTTTCACCCCTCTCCACAAATACGTCCAGATTCAGGCGTTCAATGCAATCCTATAACCCTATCTGCTAGTGGGAGCCCGCCCCACAAGGTTCCGCACCGACTTGCGAAAAGGAGTGGATTAAGTGCCCGAATTTGGACGTGTTTTAATGCAGAAATGCAAAAAAAAATGATTAAAAGAAGCCATTTTTTTCACCTCTCCACAAATACGTCCAGATTCAGGCGTTCAATCCAATCCTATCTGCTAGTGGGACCCCGCCCCAGAAGGTTCCGCACCGACTTCCTTCGGGTCTAAGCTGTCGGAAAGGAGTTGCCTTTTCAGGTGCACAGCCGAAGGACCGTTGACCGTTGACCGTTGACCTTTGACCGTTGACTTTAGGAGTTATAACATATATTCCCCCCGTATTCATATTATACATTTGACCTGCAGGCAACAGAAAATCCGGACCCCTCAAAAAAAAAAAAACAGCTACAAGCCTACAAGTCTAAA